TGTGGATTTATCTGCCTTTGGTCTTTGATGATGGTGACGTACTGATGTGGTTTTGGTGTGGGTGTCCTTTCTGTTAGTTAGTTTTCCTTCTAACAGTCAGGACCCTCAGCTGCAGGTCTGTTGGAGTTTGCTTGAGGTCCACTCCAGGCCCTGTTTGCCTGGGTATCAGCAGCGGAGGCTGCAGAAGATAGAATATTGCTGAACAGCGAGTGTTGCTGTCTGATTCTTGCTCTGGAAGCTTCGTGTCAGAGGTGTGGCCAGCTGTGTGAGGTGTGAGTTTCTGCACCTAGTGGGGGATGTCTCCCAGTTAGGCTACTCAGGGGTCAGGGACCCACTTGAGCAGGCAGTCTGTCCATTCTCAGATCTCAACCTCCGTGCTGGGAGAACCACTGCTCTCTTCAAAGCTGTCAGACCTGTATCTTCTTTTTTTTCTGATCAGTTTGGCTAGAGGTTTATAAATTTTATTGCTCTTATTAATAAGTAATTAGCTTTTGGTTAATTGATTTTTCTCTATTTTTCTATTTTCCTTGGATTTTGCTTGCTTCAGATTTAACTTGCTCTTCTTTTTCTAGTTTCCTAATGTGAGAAGCTACAGTCATTGATTTGAGACCTTTCCTGTTTTCTCATATAGGGGTTTAGTGATATCAGTACTCCCCTAAGTACTGCTTTAGCTACATCCCAAAGATTTGGATATGTTATTTTTATTTTCATTCAATTCAAAATACTAATATCCCTTTGATTTATTGAGATGTGCCATTTAATAGCCCATTCATGGACTACTTAGAGGTATGTTATTTAGTTTCTAAATATTTGGGAATTTTCCAGATGTCTTTCTGTTATTGATTTCTATTTCAATTTCAGTATGGTCAGAAAATATGCTTTCTATGACCTGAATCCTACTAAGTTTTAGATACGTTTTTATGGCACAGAATATGGTCTATCTTGGTGAGGTTCTGTGTGTACTTGAAAGTTTCAAGAATGTACATAAGCCTTTCTGTTGTTGGGTCGAGTGTTCTGTAAATGTCAATTAGGTGAGGTTGATTGATAGTGTTCAAGTCTTTTATATTCTTACTTTTTTTTTTTTTTTTTTTTTTTGGTCTATTTGATCTATCAGTTATTAAGAGGGATGTTGACATCTCCAACTGTAATTTTGGATACTTGTCTATTTCCTTTATAGTTCTGTAACATTTTACTTTATGTATTTTGAAACTCTTATTAGGTACATAAATGTTTAGGATTGTTATATCCCTTTCATGAATTAGTTCCTTTATTATTACTAGGGATAAATAAAATCATTTCATAATTTTCTTTGCTCTGAAATCTATTTTGATTGAAATAGCCATTCCAGCTTTCATTTGATTAGTATTGGCATGGTATATCTTTTTCCATCCTTGTGCTTTTAATCTGTTTGCATCTTTTTACTTTAAAGTGTATTTTTTAATAGACAGCATATAGTTGGGACTTGCTTTTTAACCCACTTTGACAGTCTCTGCCTTTTAATCGGAGTGTTTAGACTGTTTACATGTAATGTGATTATTGATATATCAGGTTAGGTTTAAATCTGACATCTTGCTCTTTGTTTGCTATTTGTCCCATCTCTATCTTTTTCCCTCTTTTTCTGTACTCTTTTGGATTATTTTCTATGATTTCATTTTATCTTCTTTAACTTACTAGGTATAATTCTTTTTTTCTTAGTGGTTGCATTAGAGTTTATACTGTACATCTTTAGCCTATCACAGTCTACTTTCAAGTGATAACAGGCATACCTCAGGATATTGCATGTTTGGTTCTAGACCACTGCAGTAAAACAAATACTGCAATAGAATGAATCGCATGAATTTTGTTTCACGGTGCATTAAAAGTTATGTTTACACTGTACTGTAGTCAAGTAAGTGTGCAGTACCATTATGTCTAAAAAAAAAGTGTACACAATTTTAGAGTACTTCGTTACCCATAAATGTTAACAATTATCTGAGCTTTCAGACAGTCATAATCTTTTTGCTGGCAGTACTTTGCCTTGATATTGATGGCTGCTTGCTGATCAGGGTGGTGGCTGCAGGTTGGGGTGGCTGTGGCAATTTCTTAAAATAAAACAATGACATTTGCCACATCAGTTAACTCTTCCTTTCGCAAAAGATTTCTCTGTAGCATGTGATGCTGTTTGATAGCACTTTACCCACAGTGGAACTTCATTCAAAATTGGAATCAGGCGAGGTACAGTGGCTCACACCTGTAATCCCAGCACTTTGGGAGAATAAGGCAGGAGGATCACTTGAGCCTGGGCAACATAGTGAGACCCCATCTCTAAAAAAAAAGTTTTTTAATTAGCTGGGCATGGTGGCACGTGCTTATCATCTCAGCTACTTGGGAAGCTGAGGCAGGAAGATCTCGTAAGCCTAGGAGTTTGAGGCTACTGTGAGCTATGATTGTGCCACTGCACTCTAGGTTGGGTGATAGAGCAAATTCCTGTCTCTAAAAATGAAAAATTAAAAAACTTTAAAAAATTGGAGGCAGTCCTCTCAAACCTTCCTGCTATTTGCCATTATCAACTAAGTGTATGTAATACTCTAAATCTTTTGTTGTCATTTCAACAATATTCACAGCATCTTTACTAGGAGTAGATTCCATCTCAGAAAACCACTGTCTTTGCTCATCCATAAGAAGCAACTCTATCTGTTCAAGTTTTATCATGAAGAATACAGTAATTCAGTCACATCTTCAGGCCCCACTGCTCATTCTAGTTCTCTTGCTATTTTCACCTCATCTGCAGTTACTTCCTTTACTGAAGTCTTGAATCTCAAAGGTGTCCAAGAGGGTTAGAATCAACTTCTTTGAAACTCCTGTTAATGTCGATATGCTGCCTTCCTCCTATAAATCATAAATGTTCTTAATGGCATTTAGAATGGTAAATTCTTTCCAGAGGTTTTCAGTTTATTTGCCCAGATCCATCAGAGGAGTTATTATCCATGGCAGCTATAGCCTTATGAAATGTATTTCTTAAATAATAGACTTGAAAGTCAAAATTCTAGCCAGGTGCAGTGGCTCATGCCTGTAATCCTAGCACTTTGAGAGGCTAAGGTGGGCAGATCACTTGAGGCCGGGAGTTTGAGACCAGTCTGGCCAACATGGTGAAACCCCATCTCTACTAAAAATACAAAAACTAGCCAGGTGTGGTAGTGCACGCCTGCAGTCCCAGCTACTCAGGAGGCTCAGGCACAAGAATCACTTGAAGGAGATTGCAGTGGACTGAGATCAGGCTACTATACTCCAGCCTGGGTGACAGATCCAGACTCTGTCTCAAGAAAAAAAGTCAAAATGACTTCTTAGTTTATGGGTTGCAGAATGGATGTTGCGTTAGCGGGCATGAAAACATCATCCTTCTCCCTATACATTTCCAGCAGAGCTCTTGGGCGACTAGGTATACTGTCAATGAGCAGTGATACTTTAAACAAATTTTTTTTTTTTTTTTTTTTTTTTTTTTTTTTTTTGGTGAGCAGTAGTTCTGAACAGTGGGCTTAAAATGCCTATTAAACTGTAAACAGGTATGCTGTCATTCAGGCTTTATTGTTCCATTTATAGAACACAGGCAGAGTAGATTTAGCATCATACTTAGGGATCCTAGAATTTTTCAGAATGGTCAGTGAGCATTGGCTTCAGTTTAGTCACCAGCTATGTTAGCCCCAACAAGAGAGTCAGTTTGTTCTTTGAAGCTTTGAAGGTAGGCATTGACTTCTGCTCTCCAGCTCTGAAAGTCCTAGATGGCACCTTCTTAAAATTATCTTACGTACTTATCCAGCATTACCCTACAACAGAAGGCTGTTTTGTGTACATCAAACCTGTTGTTTAGTACAGCCATGTTCATCAGTGATCTTAGCTAGATCTTTTGGATAAGTTGCTGCAGCTTCTACATCAGCACTTGCTGCTTCACCTTGCATTTTTATGTTGCGGAGACAGCTTCTTTCCTTAAACCTCATGAACCAACCTCTGCTAGCTTCCAACTTTTCTTTTGCAGCTTCCTCACCTCTCTCAGCCTTCATGGAATTGGAGAGAGTAGGGCATTGCTCTGGATTAGGCTTTGGCTTAAGGGAATGTTGTAGCTTGTTTGATCTGCTATCCAGACCATTCAAACTTTCTCATATCAGCAATAGGGCTGTTTTGCTTTCTTTTTGTTGTTGTTTTTTGGTTTTGTTTTGTTTTGTTTTGCTTTCTTATATTCGTATGTTCACTAAAGTAGCACTTTTAATTTCCTTCAAGGACTTTTTGCATTCCCAACTTGGCTAACAGCATAAAAGGCTTTTCTCAGCTTTCTACATGCCTTCTTTGCTAAGTTTAATCATTTCTAGCTTTTGATTTAAAGTTAGAGATGTGCAATTCTTCCATTCACTTGAACACACAGAGGCCATTGTAGGGTTATTAACTGGCCTAATTTCAATATTGTTATGTCTCAGGAAATTTTAGTGAGGCCCAAGGAGAGGGCGAGACACGGGAACAGCCGGTCCATGGAGCGGTCAGAACACATAAATTATTTATCGATTAAGTTCACTGTCTTATGTGGGAATGATCTGTGGTGTCCCAAAACAGTTATAATAGTAGCATCCTTCAAAGATCACTGATCACCATAACAGACATAATAATGAAAACCTTCAAAATGTGAGAACTACCAGAATGTGACAGAGACACGAAGTGATTACATGCTGTTGGAAAAGTGGTGCCCAGAGGGGACCACAGGGTTGCCACAAACTGTCAATTTGTAAAAACTGCAGTATCTGCAGAGCACAGTAAAGTGAAGCACAATAAAATGAGGTATGCCTGTACTTCTCTCCCTCCAATCTTTATATGATCATTGTGAAATACTTGACTTCTGCATGTTACAAACCTCACACTACATTTGTTAGTACTTTTCTTCAGTTATCTCTTAAAGAGATTTAAATAATAAGAAAAATAATCTTATGTACTTATCTAGCATTACCATTTCTGTTGTTCTTCATTTCTTTGTTTAGATCCGTATTTCTGGCTGGGCACGGTGGCTCATGCCTGTAATTGCAGCACTTTGGAAGGCCAAGATGGGCAGATCACTTGAGGTCAGGAGTTCAAGACCAGCCTGGCACGGTCAGGTTTTTTCACCCAACATGGTGAAACCCCATCTCTACTAAAAATACAAAAAAAAAAAAAAAAAAAATTAGCCAAGCGTGGTGGTGCGTGTCCATAATCCCAGTTACTTGGGAGGCTGAGGCGGGAGAATCACTTAAACGCAAGAGGTGGAGGTTACAGTGAACCGAGATCACACCACTGTACTCCAGCCTGAACGACTCTGTCTCAAAAAAATACAAAAACATATTTCCATCTCGTGTCATTCTCCCTTCTGCCAGAAGGACTTCTTTTAACATTGCTTGTGGTGGGAGTCTGCTAGTGATAAATTCTTTCAGGTTCCGTATACCTGGAAATTCTTTTACAGTAATATACTGAGATGTTTGTAGGGCTTACTAAATTTATTCCTGTTTCTTTTTTTTTTTTTTTTTGGAGACAAGAGTGTTGCTTTGTCGCCCATGCTAAAGTGCAGTGGCATGATCTTGGCTCTCTACCTCCCAGGTTCAAGTGATTCTTCTGCCTCAGCCTCCTGAGTAGCTGGGATTACAGGTGTACGCCACCACGCCTAGCTAAATTTTTTGTATTTTTGGTAGAGATAGGGTTTCACCATGTTGGCCAGGCTGGTCTTGAACTCCTGACCTCAAGTGATCTGCCTGTCTCAGCCTCCCAAAGTGCTGGGCTTACAGGCATGAGCCACCGTGCCTGGCCAGTTTATTCCTGTTTTTTAGGGATCGTCCTTTATTGTCTGATGTTCACACAATGTTTTGAAAACCATTGTTTCATACATTTTGTCTTTTTTGTTGTTTCAGGCAGGAGGGTAAATATGGCCTGTGGCCCTCGTTGTCTCATCTTGGAAGTGGAGCGCTAGCCAAGAATTAGAGAGAGGAAGTAAAGTGGTTGGGGCAAAACTTTCAGAATTGGCAAGTAAAGGGCATGTGTCAAGGCAGAAAAGGGAGAGGAGTATATTTTTATCCAGAAGCTGGGATTTCTTAGATAACACAAAAGTACCTCTGTACAAAGCAGTCTATATAAGCAGTTAATTATCAAGTTAATGCCTTTTGAAGCTTCTGGGTGGGACATATTAAATCTGAAATGGGCCGAGTATGTTGGCTCATGCCTGTAATCCTAGCAATTTGGGAGGCTGAGATCTCTTGAGCTCAGGAGTTCGAGACTAGCCTGGGCAACATAGTGAGGCCTTGTCTCTATTAAAAATAAAAATAAAAAATTAGCCAGGCCCGGTGACTCATGCCTGTAGTCCCAGCTACTCTGGAGGCTGAGGCAGGAGGATCGCTTGAGCCTGGGAGGTCAAGGCTGTGGTGAGCTATGGTTGCACCACTGCACTCCAGCCCGGGCAACAGAGCAAAACTCTGTCTCAAAAAAAAAAAGAAAAGAAAATGTGAAGCAGTGTTGACAGTCTCTGGGGACTTTCCTTTAAATCTCAGTGCAGTCTTCATTGTTCAGTGGTTTTGAGTCTGCTAGCCTGGCCTTGAATGGTGTGGCAAAAACAACGGCTTATTGGAGTTGAGGAACAAGAACAGATAAGAAATGGCTTCTAGAAAGAATAGCCAGAGGGAGGCCCTGGTTGGAGTTGAAGAAAAAGGTTTTGGAAAAGCTGCAGAGCCCCTTCCCCTGAAGTCTCTCAGTTGGGATGCTCTTTAATTCTCATATGGAAAAGGCTGTCCTATTCACGTAACAGTTCAGTAATGGGAGAGAATTTTATTCCACAAATGAGGTCACCCGGTTGAGGATATGGTGATCCAGAAACTGTTTTTATACCGTATAAAAACTCAAACAGTTTTCATCTGGCAGCTTTGTTGCAGACAACATCCCATGTCTCTTTGCCTGCACAAGGTGTGAGTGAGTAAAGAAAGTGGGGGTAGGGTCTTCTTTGGCTGTCATAGTAGCAAAATACCATAAACTTAGGGTCTCAAGCAACAGAAGTTTATTTTCTCACAGTGGAGACTGGAAAGCCCCAGATCAAGGTTCCAGCAAGGTGTGGCTTCTGGTGAGAAGTCTCTTCTTGGCTTGCAGGTGGCCACTTTCTCAGTGTGTTCCCACATGTCCTGTCCTTGGTGCACGCGGTTGCGGGAGAGAGATTGATCTCTCTCTCTTCTTATCAGGCCACCAGTTCTATCTGATTAGGACCTCAACTCACCATTATGACCTCATTTCATATTAATTACCTTCCAAAAGCCCTATCTCCAAATAAGCCACATGGGGGTTTGGGCTTCACCATCTAAATTTGGGGAGGTGACACAAACATGCAGTCCTCAGCAGAGGGAATGAGATGCAGCCGCTGCATAGGTGCCTGATGGCTGTGACACAGTTCTTTTGTCAGCCTCTCAGTTCTGGGTACATTATGGTCATACCCTCCAGAGGCCTTAGCCCTGGTGACATGCCTTCTGCTGCACACCTCCAAACCAACAGCTTTCAAAATTGGATTTGGATTCCAATATTTTGTTGAAATGATTAGAATCAGCCTGAATGTACTGTCCTGGGGTACTGTTGAGGTTCTGTGGGGCAAGGAACGGGGCTCCTGATAGACTTCGTGTTGCTTGTCTCCAGGTTCTTCTTTGCGGTCCAGTTGGTCCAAAGCTACATGAGCTTCTTGATGACAATGTTTTTGTTCCACCAGAGTCATTGCAGGAAGTGGATGAGTTCCACCTCATTTTAGAGTATCAAGCAGGTAAGGAAATGAGTAAGTAATGGTGGCAAGACCAGTCAGGGGACTGTGTATTGTCAGATTGGGGTGTGACTGTGCCAGAAATTTATCTTGGTAAATCAGCAGGATCCTGTTTTTGCCATACTGAACGTTTCCTGACCTATTGGTTCTACTGAGCTGATACTGGCCATTGTCTCAAGGGAGACTGATAGAGTATTACAACATGGAAGAAAATTTCCAGGTCTACAAACAGAATTGCTCTGAAGCCAAGATAAATCAGACTGTAGGAAAGCAGGCATCTCAAATAAAAATGAAAATGTGTTAAACACACATATATAAAGTTTTCCTTTATGACTAAGAGAAGAGAAAGGCAGGTAGCATCCATTCAGCTCTGTGCTGGATTCTGCCCTAGGCCCTTCTGACTGACTCTTCCTAGCTGCTTGGGGTTGATTCCAAGCTACTGGCAAGTTTCTCTGGAGCATTTTATTTTTCCTTGGGTGTGTGAGTGGAAGTGTTGTATTTAACATCACTATATTGTTTCCCATCAAATGTTCTAATGTTAATAAATCCACATCCACTGCATCCCATCCCCTCTTCCCTGCAGATTTTATATGTTACATAGATTAGGCATCTGGTTTCTGAGAAAATCTTAAATACTTGGACATACTTTGATCCTGTGTATTTCCTGCTGTATTTTCCCCTCTGCTCAGAACTCAAGACTCTTGAGTTTCTGATTCAACACATTGTTAATTCATATTTAAGACTCAAGCATCTAAACAGACTAATTGGTACCTTGAAGCAGCACTTAATACTCTTTAGTGAACTACTTCCAAGTCAATTAAGAGAATCTTCTCTACTAGAGTAATTAACTTTAACACAAGATATGAACTATGTTGTTTCTTGAAAATTATGCCTTTCTCCAGGTAGAAAAAGAGTTGTAACATGTTCTGGTTCTCTTTCGGGTCTTTACTAGAATCAGCTGGGAAGTAGGGAAGGATAGGGTCTGAAAATTAGGGAAACACTGTTGACGTAGGCAATTCATACTTAATGCTACACGAGTTTTTTAGTTTCTCAGCTTTAGTTTTCCCAAGTGGGAAGTAAGAGTGATAGTTTTTGCCGCCTGATCATTGTGGTAAGGATTAAGAGATTGGTTGGTGTGTGGAAACACTGTGAGCAGCCTGGATGAAAAGATGACCTGGCTGCGCGCAGTGGCTCACACCTGTAATGCCAGTACTTTGTGAGGCTGAAGCGGGTGGATCACAAGGTCAGGAGTTCAAGATCAGCTTGGCCAAGATGGTAAAACCCCTTCTCTACTAAAAATACAAAAATTAGCCAGGTGTGGTAGCGGGCACCTGTAATCCCAGCTACTCGGTAGGCTGAGGCAGAGAATTGCTTGAGCCTGGGAGGTGGAGGTTGCAGTGAACCGAGATTGCACCACTGCACTCCAGCCTGGGTGACAGAACGAGACTCCATCTAAAAAAAAATAAAAATAAAATAAAAGAATGCCCTGACTGTGGACCAGAAGGGTCTGGAATTGCTAAAGATGAGCCTCTGAGGTATTGCTGCCATGAGTTCCAGATTCATGTCACTTTTTTTTTGGCACCCACAGCATGAACTGGGGAGCTTTGTGATTCCTGGTTTGTCATTTTCCCTGGTGACTACAGAGTGGAGAGTCTTATGTCTTCAGCAAGACTTTGATGATGTATTGGACAGCTGTGCCTTGTATGTAGTTAAGGAGACAGCACAACTCACCTCACAAAGAGTGTCTCCATCCTTGGGTTTATAAGTGTCACACTTCAGTTTTTCTTTCCTATGCCTTTTCTGCGTACAAAGCAGTGGACTTCCATTAAACTTTGTGAGGTGACATTTTCCTAGGTCCAAGGAGGGAGCCTAGACTGGTGGCAGCAGTCCTGGGCTCAGCTCTCTCAACAGAAATCCATCCCCAGTTTCTCTCTGACATCAATAGGGACATTCCAAGGGATGTGTCCACTTTTTTTTTCACATTCTTTCTTACCAAACCTCCCCAGAGAAGCCCATCGTCAGGCTTGGGCTGGGAATCCAGTGAGTCACTATGTAGAGGTTTTGCTTACTTACTAGCTGAGGGCAGGATGATACATTGAGAAGAGATTGCTTGCAGAAATGAATACAACACTTTGTGAGGAAAGAGGGGGCGCTAACTACCATTACAGGCAGAATTCGATCCATTTGCTTCTCGGGCCACCCCTCTGCCCTGCGTCCCGTGGAAACAGCAAGCAGCTCTGCATGGTTCTTCTCGTCCTTGCCTTGCAGAAGCCTGTTTGTTTTTGCCTCTGTCACTTCCTGAAGCAGTGTATTTTGAACACGGTGTGGCTCCTTTTTCCTAGATTCAATCAGGTCGTGTTTCCTGGCAGTGTCACTATTTAAGGGTTGAGTTCATGTCTTGCTCTCTGGAGAATATCAATGTAATGTATTTTTCTCATTGTACAGAGTCTTTGTTGATTTGCAAAATGTTGGATTTGGAGTTCATAACCATATTTTTTGTTGTCATGGGCATTTAGGTCATCAGTCTGTTCTCTTATTTGCTTGTTCTTTTAATTCATTCCCATGGCTATATGCCAGACGCAGCGTGACGCAGAAGGAATATGATAGAGGATGACACAGGCCCTGCCCTCAGCTCACAGTTTACTGCCAGAGATAGACACTTGGAAAAAGTAATTACAGGCTGGGCATGGTGGCTCAGACGCCTGTAATCCCAGCACTTTGGAAGGCCGAGGCAGGCAGATCACCTGAGGTCAGGAGTTTTAAGACCAGTCTGGCCAACATGGTGAAATTCCATCTCTACTAAAAATACAAAAATTAGCCGGGTGTGGTGGTGGGTACCTGTAATCCCAGCTACTTGGGAGGCTGAGGCAGGAGAATCACTTGAACCTGGGAGGCAGTGGTTGCAGTGAGCTGAGATCGCACCATTGCACTTCAACCTCGGCAACAGAGCAAAACTCCATCTCAAAAAAAAAGAAAGAAAAAAAGAAAAAGTAATTGCAAAATCATGTGCCTCAGTCCTGTATTAGGGTACAGTGGTGGCTCCAGAAGGGAGGTAATCAAGTCTGCTTAGGGGTGGTAGCGTTAGGAAAGGCTTCATATTAAGGGAGGAACTAGCACTTAAACTTTGTCTTAAACAGTCATTCCTCCAAAGCAACTCACATAGAAGCAACTGGAGCAGCCAGATAGTCTGACCCTTTGGATCAGGTGCCCAGAAAACACTGATGGGCAGCAGAGAAGAGGAGATGCAGTGAGCTTGGCTGTTGGGAAGGAATTCAGCCTGCTTAAGTTCCAACTGAATGAAAGATGCTCAGGGCAGTGCTGTGAGGAAGAATGTGCTTTAAACAATGACAGCCGGTACTGTCTGCAGGGCGTGCGTTCTGTGCACTGTATGCTGGTATTTGGAAGTCATGCTGCTGTTCTGTACTGTCTCTCCTGTGTTTGAGAGCTCAGTGGATGGTAGGGCTCTCCTGGGACTCGGGGAGCTAATTACCCTGAAAAAGGCATATAGCAGCCATACTATGTTTCTGTTTCTTGGTTGGGTTTGGGTTTAGGTTTTTGGTTTGTTTCTTGCAGTGCCATGCTGACCTTAGACCATTGTTGCCAGGGTCTCCTCAGCCAGAAACCAGCCTGCTTGGAGCCAAGGCTCCAAGCCTGTGAGGTGGCTGAAAGTGCCCCCACAGCTAGGAGACCTAAAGCCTCTTCCTTTTCTTCCCATTATGTTGACTGGGTTTTTCCAGGGGAGGAGTGGGGCCAGTTAAAAGCTCCCCATGCCAACCGATTCATCTTCTCTCACGACCTCTCCAACGGGGCCATGAATATGCTGGAGGTGTTTGTGTCTAGCCTGGAGGAGTTTCAGCCAGACCTGGTGGTCCTCTCTGGATTGCACATGATGGAGGGACAAAGCAAGGAGCTCCAGAGGAAGAGACTCTTGGAGGTAATGGCACTGTTACAGAATTTCACAGATCTCAGCTGGTGGTTTTCTTCAGGTTCCAGCCTCTCTTGGCATCTGCTGCCTTGCCTTAGGTCCTGGCCTCGCAGGGACATAATCTTGGCAGCTGGCTGTGGAGCTTGCCTCCTGCTGCAGTGAGGCACCTCACTGTATCCCTACAAACGTGAGCAGCAACTTGAGTAGGACAGGTCAGAACATCTTCTTGCCTGAGCCTCTGCATCCTGTGCTAAACTGACCGTGGTTGCAAGCTGCAGGGTTTGTAGTTTGTGTCCTTTGTGTTATTTGTATCGTCTCACTTCACATCAGCTATGCTGCAACTCCTACAGATTCGTACAGCAGTCGAAGTGAACTGCTCCTTTTAGGTCCCAGGAATAGGCTGGCCACATGAATATACAGGGACACTTCTTTGTCATCTCTGATTCTGTATCCCTGATGGCTCTGCACAGCCTAGTCTTCCCTGGTGGGAAAAGTGTCCCTTGTCCACAGAGGCGGTGGGGGACCCACATTGCTTGTAGCTCTTGTGAGCATGCAAAGAAGGCCATTACCAGGAGGAACCGCCTCTCAGGATCTGATCTATTTTCCCCCTTTCTTTACTTCCTTCTATTTCTAATGGCAGTGCTTATCTTCTTCTCTTTGCAGGTTGTAACCTCCATTTCTGACATCCCCACGGGTATTCCAGTTCACCTAGAGCTGGCCAGTATGACCAACAGGGAGCTCATGAGCAGCATTGTGCATCAGGTAACCACATGGGACCATTGTTTGGCCCTGATCCTCGTAGAGCCTTGCAGAGAAGCTTTTTTGTGCAGTGGGACCATCTGTTTGGGCTCAGGGACTGGCTCACTGACATGTAGGTTTGTGTCACTCAGAATCAAGTCCATGGAGATCCAAATAAGGATCCAGGACTGTTCTGAAACAGTAGTGTCTCCTACTAGGTTAAAGTTACGTAACTGACAGATTTGTCGATATTTCTCCTCTGGAATGGGAAAGTTGAAAGTGAGTGGAGAAAACTGAAAGCCCAGCTCAGCTGTTTTCAGTTGAATTTCAAGAAGCTCAAAGCAAAGAAACTTTGGGGGAACCTCCCTCCTTCCTCAGGCATCTGGGTGTCCGGCGCCTGCCTCTGGGCAGCAGCAGTGATTAGTATAAATCTGAGCAGGTGAGGCTTCAGAACACAAGCTTTGGAGACCTGGGTTAGCATGCCAGCCTTGCACTCCCCAGCTTCATGAACTCAGGCAAGTTATCTCACCTGGCAATCTATTGTTACCTAATCTTCTTAATTGGTTATGTATTCATTTGGTTAAAAAATACTCCAAAACTATGAAAAGATATGCAATGAAGTCTCCCTCCTACTTCCTCCCCTTCCCTACTTGTAACCTTCATCAGTTTATTTCCAGAGTTCTTTTGTACAAGAATAAGAAAATACGGAAATATATCCTGATTTTCCTTTTCCATCCCCTTTTCCCCAAAAAGATAGCATAGCCTACTGAATACACTGTTCGTCACTTTGCTCTTTTTTTCACTAAATATATCTTGGAGATCTTCCTGCATCACTAACATGGAGAGTATCCTCTGTCTTTTCACAGCCACATGGTTAAAATGAATGTGTAGATGTACCTCTGTTTACTTAACCTGAACCTTCTTGATGGACATATTGGTTATTTACTGCCCTTTGCTGTTACACACAGTGCTGCAGTGAACGACTTTATACATGATTTTATTTTGCGTGTGAGCAAGTCCATATGTATGAGAAATTTTCAGAAGAACAGCTGGATTGGAGCATAAGAAAGCATTTGTAATTTTGAGATTGCCAGCTTGCCCTCCATGAGAATTATACCAGTTTACTTCCCACTGGCATTATTTACAAATGCTTGTTCCCTCATATCCTTGCTACCAGAATGTTAAAATTTGCATTTATATCAGTCTGACAGATGAAAAACTGGTATTTCAGTATACAGTCATCCCTCGTCGTCAGCAGTGTGTGGGCCAGGGGGTGGGGAGGGTATTCCAGAACCCTTCCCAGATACCAGAATCTGCAGATGTTTACATCCTGCAGTTGGCCCCATGGAATCTGTGGATTAGACAAGTTGGCCCTCCCTATCTGCAGGTTCCACATCCTCGAATACTCTGTTTTCCATTTGAAGTTGGTTGAACCCACGGATATGGAGGGCTGACTGTTGTTGTTTTTTTGTTTTTTTTTTTTTTTTTAATAGACTTCATTTTTTTTTTACAGTAATAATTAGGTGCACAGCAAAATACAGCAGAATCCAAGAGAGTTCCCATATATTCCCAGTCCCCTCACACACACAGCCTCCCCCACTACCAGCAGCCTGCACCAGAGTGGCACATTTATTATAACTAGTGAGCCTACACAGGCACACCATCAGCACCCAAAGTCCATAGTTTACAGTTGGGCTCACTCTTGGTGTTTCTCAGTATAGCTTTTGTTTGGGTTTTTCTTCTCACCTTTAAAAAAAAATGAGCCATTTCTATTTCATTTTCATTTAGTAACTGGCTATGTCATGGGACATCTTAGGAGCCAGGTTATCTCCATCAGAAAGAGACCTGTCATTGTTTTTGTTAGCAGGTCTTTCCTGCGGTGACTTCTCTTGGGCTGAATGAGCAGGAGCTGTTATTTCTCACCCAGTCGGCATCTGGACCTCACTCTTCTCTCTCTTCGTGGAACGGTGTTCCTGATGTGGGCATGGTCAGTGACATCCTCTTCTGGATCTTGAAAGAACACGGGAGGAGTAAAAGCAGAGCCTCGGATCTCACCAGGATCCATTTCCACACACTGGTCTACCACATCCTGGCAACTGTGGATGGACACTGGGCCAACCAGCTGGCAGCCGTGGCTGCAGGAGCTCGTGTGGCTGGGACACAGGCCTGCGCCACAGAAACCATAGACACTAGCCGAGTGTCTCTGAGGGCACCCCAAGAGTTCATGACTTCCCATTCGGAGGCAGGCTCCAGGATTGTATTAAACCCAAACAAGCCAGTAGTAGAATGGCACAGAGAGGGAATATCCTTCCACTTCACACCAGTGTTGGTGTGTAAAGACCCCATTCGAACTGTAGGCCTTGGAGATGCCATTTCAGCCGAAGGACTCTTCTATTCAGAAGTACACCCTCACTATTAGGAAGATTGTTAGGGGTAATTTTTCTGAGGAAGGAGAACTAGCCAACTTAAGAATTACAGGAAGAAAGTGGTTTGGAAAATAGGATTGAGAGGGTCAGAACTGTTCGTAGATCTAGTTGGAAGACAGCCAAAGAAATAAAAGCAGATTAAACTGTATCAGATACATTCCAGCCTGTTGGCAACTCCATAAAAACATTTCAGGTTTTAATCAGAATTTAGCTAATGAGACTGGATTTTTGTTTATGTTGTGTGTCACAGAGCTAAAAACTCAGTTCCTAAATCCCCAGTTTATGCGGCGCCATCTAGTATTTTAAGCCAAACTTCTTCACCCCTGAGAGCATGTCAGCTGGAGAAAAGCACTCCTTCCTTGCCCACTTGAGAAGTGCACGCCCACTCACCCAACATCCTGGTCTCTAGGAAAGCCTCATGTGAGGTTCCTCTCTCTCTCAGCTCAGTGCCCATGGGCAAGGATCATGATTTCCATTCAGTGTTACAATGACAATATTTAATGAGTATAACCTTCTCAGTCTCCTGCTCTCAAATTTAGGACAGAGCCGCTAAGGACAAAACAGTCCCTCCTGTGCTTTATGATGGCAACAGGGGCTGGGGAGCCTCTGAGGGACTCGTTCATTCTGCAGTTGTCTAGAAGCCTGGGTGGCGTCGTGAGCTGAAGGATCGTGCTTTCCTGTCCTGGCTCCGTAGGTTATAGGCTGGCTGGTGAAAGGTTCACATGGCCCGAGCTGAACTTCATTGCCTAGCTTTGGATGTGCTTTCTGCCATGAAGACTGATTTTTGTTCGTTCTGAGCCTTCGAGGAATTTGCTTTTTACAACTGGAATATGCTCCTGTGTGTATAACAGATCATGTATGTTTTATGTTTTCATTGATCATTAAAGAGTTTGACCTCAGAGCTCCAGGATCATCAATAAATTTGTCATGTTATATATTTATTTTTTTATAAATCAAGACTTCTGTGTGCTCTTAAATATATTAAAAACAATTTACATTTCAGGATGTCTGTCTGTAGTTGATTTTTGTCTCCATCACCACTCTGAAACCAGATAAGATAAAAATCATTCTGGTGTTCATTTATGATGTACATGTTACTTTGCTCTTGAGGTACCTGCAGTCCCTCATGCTGAGCCTGGGCTATAGGCCTGTCCTGTGGGGTTGAAACCGACACAAAGTACTAGTATGAAGTAGCCCAGTTAAAGCTGAATTGGAGCATAGCAGTTTGAGAGCATGGTGAACCTTTTCAGCTTGTTCGGAGGGCAGTATGAACATGGCAGTTGGTGGTGGGCCTGCCTAGTTCATCGGGTTTTCATTTCCCCCGGGCCCACAACAGCTTCTGGAATCTCAAAGCTACCTCAAGCTCTTCATTTGTGACCTCCCTTTCCCTGCTTTGGGTAAGAAAGCTTGATTACTCCTTCAAAGAAAATTTAAGCCTAGAATGCAGCTTGTAACTCACAGCTGCATAGGCTTAAATTAAGGAAATATCTGGCTGCTGTCTCATCCTTCTGTTTACCAGGTAAGTTAAAAATAACCACCAACCTTCTAGCCTATTTTTATTAGAAAGGCTTACATGAGATTTTTATTTTCTCAAGAATTGAAATATTTATATTCTAAACCTAAGAAGACTTTATTAGGAGTTGTGAAGTGTTCTCCACATGATCTTTTCTAAGTTGACTAAGCCCCCGGTCCTGAGTATATATTCTTAACAGGTTCTCCATTTTTTGATTGGTGCTGCCAATAAAGACTAGTTCAGGGAGTATAGACCGCACATACCCTATAGCAGTGTTTTTCAAATAATGGATCTTGAACTAATAGCCACTAAATCCATTTGGTTATCACAAAAAGTATAAAAACACATCATACATTATAAGGGTAAGTATAAGTAAGCATTGTTTTGTAAAGTGTCAGTGACTGTCTGAGTGTATATAGATTTGAACATACATCCCCCTGCAGAATGTCCCATCTTTTTTGTGAAGTAGCTAAGCAATAGAAGTGATGGGTATTTATCACACAGGACAGATTATGCAGAGGTGAGTTGGAAGGGTAGGATAAGCTGAACAAGTAGGGGCTTCAAGTTTCTCAACCCTTTGCTTTGGTGTTTTACAAAGGTATTTTACATATGATTTTATATGAAAAAATGTCTGAAAATCCATTGGCCTAAAAAGGATGCCCAATGAAGAGTGAGTCTTCCTGAAAACTGTTGATACACTCTGGCTTTCATTTGAAACTGATTTAAAATGCAAGGAAAAGAAAAGCTGCAGCATACAAAGCACCACCAAGAAGTAAGAGTACAGCCAAGAATCTGTCATCCTTATCATGCAGGTACAGTTTGCATTGTATTGTCTCCTAACAAGTTTGAGAAAAAATCCAAATTCTACACAAGGTTTTGCGATGGTGAGTACTGAATGATGTTAGACAAGTTACCCTTACTGAGCCTTACTTTGCTCATCTGTAAAATGGGGTTAATGATGGTACCTACCTTCATAGGGCTGTTGATTAAAGGAGACTGCCATGTGGAATATTTAGCACAGTATGGGGTGCATATTTAAGAGTTAAATAATTGTCAGTTATAACTAAGCTGAACAGACAATTTCCTGGGTCTCTTTAGAACTATTTTAAATCACTGAAAAGCTACTTGTAATAATTTAACATTTTGTTTTCTGGTCTTTTAAGGTAAAAATGTTTATATAGTGAAACTGCACAAATTTTAAGTGTGCCATTTGGTAAGTTTGTTTTTTTGTTTTTGTTTTTGTTTTTGAGACAGTCTTACTCTATCACCCAGGCTGGAGTGCAGTGGTGCAATCCCAGCTCATTGCAACCTCCGCCTCCTGGGTTCAAGTGATTCTGCTGCCTCAGCTTCCCAATTAGCGGGGATTACAGGCACCCACCACCACGCCCAGCTAAGTTTTTTGTATTTTTAATAGAGACGGGTTACCCAGGCTGGTCTCGAACTCCTGACCTCAGGTGATCCACCCACCTCGGCCTCCCGAAGTGCTGGGATTACAGGCATGAGCCACCATGCCTGGCCTTTGTTTTTGTTTTTGAGACAGTGTCGCTCTGTTGCCCAGGCTGGAGTGCAGTGGCTCAGTCTCAGCTCACTGTAACTTCCACCTCCCGGGTTCAAGCGATTCTTCTGCCTCAGCCGCCCAAGTAGCTGGGATTACAGGTGCCTGCCACTACACTAGGCTACTTTTTGTATTTTTAGTAGAGATAGGGCTTCACCATGTTGGCCAGGCTGGTCTTGAACTCCTGACCTCAGGTGATCTGACCACCTTGACCTCCCCAAGTGTTGGGATTACAGGTGTGAGCCACCACACCCAGCCAGGTAAGTTTTGACAAATGCATATACTCACCTAACCCAAGTGGCTATCAAGATTCAGAATGGGCCAGGTGCGGTCTCTACTAAAAATACAAAAATTAGCAGGGTGTGGTGGTGGGCGCCTGTAATCCCAGCTACTGGGGAGGCTGAGACAACAGAACTGCTTGAGCCCTTGGGGCGGAGGTTGGAGTGAGCCAAGATCATGCTGCTGCGCTTCTGCCTGGGCAACACGGCAAACTCTGTCTCAAAAAAAGATTCAGATGGACAGCCCCAAGCACATTGCCTGAGTTAGTCTTGATCTACAAGGAGCAGCAAAAATAAAAAGTCCCCATCACCCTAGATAGTTCCTTCACACCACTTCCAAGTCATCCCCACCCCATATCTCAAGCCCCAGAACAACCAGTTACTTTTTTTCCCCATAAATTAGTTTTGCCTGTTTTCAGAATGCAACTTAAAAATGGAGTCATTCAGTATTTAGTCCTTTGTATAAAGCTGCTTGCATTTAGCATAGTATTTTTTAGAGTAATCCATGTTGCATGTAGTTGGTTGCTTTTTATAGCTAGATAGTATTCCACTGTGAGTACACAGCATTGTGTATAATGGCCTTCTGTTTCACACAAGTGCTTTTGCCGTTTTCAGAGTAGAGGTCTTAACGTGTAGTCAGTTAAATTCCTAAGTATTTCATATCAATAGCATTTGACACTTTTGTGATTTTTAAAAAATTTTATTTTCAAAATTGTTCCTTGCTTGTATATAAAAATACAATTGATTTTTGTACATTGACATTGTATCTTGTGACCTTGCCAAATCCACTTAGGTGTAGTCACTGTATTTTCATAATTTATTTTTAGGATTCCTTAGGATCTTCTACATAATCATGTCATCTCTAAAGAGTTTTATTTCTTCCTTTCTAATCTTTATGCCTTTTTATTTCTTGCCTTATTGCACTGGCCAGAACTCTAGTCCAGTATAATGCTGAATAGAAGTGGTAAGAGTAAACATCTTTGCCTTGGTCCTAATCTTAGGGACAAAGTAGTCAATATTTCACTAAATATGATGATATCCATTGCATTTTTTTTCTCATGGATGCCCTTCATCAGGTTGAAGATGTTCCCATCTATTCTCGATTTGCTGAGAATTTTTATGATTTTGTTTTGTTTTGTTTTTTACTTTCTCGGGGGCTGAAAAGGGTATTGAAGTTTTAGGTTCATAGCAAACTTGAGAGGAAATATAGACACTTGCCATATATCAGCTGCCCCAACACATGCATAGCCTCCTCCCTCCCTATCAACATCTCCCATGAGAGTGGTACATTGGTTACAACTGATGAATGTATACGGACACATCTTTATCACCCAAAGTCCATAATTTACTTTAGGCTTCAGTCTTGTACATTCTGTGGCTTTGGATAGAGTCTCACTCACTTTGTCACCCAGACTGGAGTGCGGTGTTGCGATCTTGACTCACTGCAACCTCCACCTCCTGGGATCAAGCCATTCTCCTGCCTCAGCCCCTTGAGTAACTGGGATTACAGGCATGCGCCACTATGCCGGGCTAATTTTTGTACTTTTAGTAGAAATGGGGTTTTGCCATATTGGCCAGGCTGGTCTCAAACCCCTGACCTCAGGTGATCTGCCCACCTCAGCCTCCCAAAGTGTTGGGATTACAGGAGTGAGACACCACACCTGGCCTGGACAAATATATTAATATAACAATATGCATCCACCACTATGGTATACAGGGTATTTTCACTGCCCTAACAGCCCTCTGTGCTCTGTTAATCCTTCCCTCCCCACTAACCCCTGGCAACCACTGATCTGTTTGCTGTCTCTCTAGTTTTGCCTTTTCCAGAAGGCTGTATTATTGGAATCATTTGGGATGCAGCCATTTCAAATTGATTCCCTTCTATAGTAATATACGCTTCAGTTTCTTACATGTCTTTTCATGGCTCATTTCTTTTTTTTTTTTTTTTAAGTTAAGTTCTAGGGTACATGTGCACAACATGCAGGTTTGTTACATATCATTTGGGATATGCAAAATACCCCAAATTGATTCCTCTCTATAGTACATACGCCCAGTTTCTTACATGTCTTTTCATGGCTCATTCTTTTTTTTTTTTTGCTAAGTTCTAGGTACATGTAAAATAACATGGTTTGTTATATATACATGTGGCATGCTGGTGCTGCACCCATTAACTCATTTGTTATTTGTGTATCTCTCCTAATGCTATCCTTCCCCCTCCCCTCCCCTCCTTCCTGCAATAGGCCCCAGTGTGTGATATTCCCCTTCCTGTGTCCAAGTGATCTCATTGTTAAATTCACACCTATGAGTGAGAACATGTGGTGTTTGGTTTTCTATTCTTGTGATAGTTTGCTGAGAATGATGGTTTCCAGCTGCATCCATGTCCCCACAAAGGACATGAATTCTTCCTTTTTTATGGCTGCATAGTATTCCATGGTATATATGTGCCACATTTTCATAATCTAGTCTGTCACTGATGGACATTTGGGTTGATTCCAAGTCTTTGCTATTGTGGATAGTGCTGCAATAAACATACGTGTGCATGTGTCTTTATAGCAGCATGATTTATAATCCTTTGGGTATATCCCCAGTAATGGGATGGCTGGGTCAAATGGTATTTCTAGTTATAGATCCTTGAGGAATCGCCACACTGTTTTCCACA